CATCACAAAGGAGCAGATGATGGAGCTACCAGGTAAACTAACTCCCCACAGCCTACATACATATCTTTTTCAGTTGCATAGGAATAACCACTTAGTTGCATAGAAAGCATAGCATGTTGCACAGAACATGGCTTTTAGTTGCACACTGTTCTGTTTTCAATTTCATGCATTTTTTTTGCTGCTGTGACCCTTCAAGCTAACTTGTTTTTGTATTGCTTTCAGAAAATAATCAGCCCTGAGATACTCAGGTATGGTGCTTTCTACATTTCTTTAAAGGAGTTAGTTGATTCGATGAAGCCGGTTCAATGGTTGTCAAAAATTGTTATTGAGACTGGAATCTTACACATCATGGATAACTTACCAGAAGGGTCAAAGAAGGTTGTTATGCCACTGAGGTTTTCTGTAAGTTTTTCCAAAACCTTCTTTTTACCCTCATCTTTGTTCTGTAGCACTTTTTTCGTTGACCATTTGAGGGAGGCCTTTCACCTACTAAGGAGTTTTGAGCCATGTTTTATAATCTCTGCAGATAAATTTACAGTAAGAGATCCATAATGTGAATGAGATAAACAAGAAGTTTGATTACAAGAACCGTCTCGACAAGAAAGACTTGGTGAGTGTTGTGCCCACATGATCAATCTTTTTTTAGTTGGCACCCACAGCATGTCCAGTTGCACATGACACATCTGTTAGTTGGTAGATACTTGTTGCAACCTGTTTTTAACTTGACCAAGTCTTTTACTGTTTTTCTTAGCTACAGCCTATATTTGTGTCTGAAATCGTTCACGCTTGTAGGTCATGCTGCCAGTGCTCGAGTGCGCTGATGTAACCGATAAGGACGGAGGGAGGCATTATTGGGTCTTCAGTGTCAACTTGAGGGACGAACGCTTCGAAGTTCTTGATTCAAGCAGGACACTGGACAACATTGAGCTGATGAACACCGCCTCTACCATCGCGGGGGCAGTACGCCAGCTATGGAGAAAGCATTACCCAAAGTTTAGCATCGAGCACTTCCAGATTATTGACATTGACGTACCGAAGCAGCTCGGCAAGTAAGACAATAAGCATTTCATTCCTTCTCAATCATATACCATCATTTTGTAGTTTTTAAATTTTTCTACATTTGCAATCTTTAGTAATTTTAAGACACAGTACTAGTCTTCAATCTATTTTGTCATTTTTATGAGTTTCTAATGGATTATCTAGCCAGTTGCAGAGTGGCGCATAAGTAGTTGCACACTGGCACGTAAGTAGTTGCACAGTGGCACATAATGAGTTGCAGTAGAACACAAGCAGTTGCACAGTAGGACATAAGCAGTTGCACAGTAGAACAGAAGCAGTTGCACAGTAGGACATAAGCAGTTGCATAGAGTGCATTACCTTTATTTGGTTTTAACTTTATGTGACAAATTTTTTTTGCCCATTTTGCAGTAATGAGTGTGGGTTGTTCGCACTGCTTAACGCCACCGAGTGGAATGGTAGCCAACTGCCCAACTACGACCCCAAGGAAGTACTCAACATCAGGAAGAAGCTGGCATATGATTGGGTCACCAGTGTGCACAACACCGCCCCATGGAGGAAGTTGCTGAGATACGACAAGGAGTAGGTCAGTACTATTTTTTCTTTTTTCTGCTCCATGGAGGAAGTTGATGGTTTGTACAATTTTTTAAGCAGATTTTGTAGTTGCACACTACTAGTAATTGCGTTTGCAACTCAATATCATCACTTTTGTTGATACATTAGGAGCACTGGATATACAATTGTTCAACAACTAAATATTTAACCAGTTGCCAACAAAGGCACAAATAGCAACTTTTTTTTACACAGTGCATGAACTAATTCAAGCAGCATAAATTAGATAAAGAGGAATCATAGATGCTGAATGTGTCCACTTGGTGCCAACATTGCTAAAAAACATCATTATTTTCCTTTTTTGTTCCAAAGTTACAAATGAGGAAACAGAATCACAGGAGCCTGAGTGGACACAGACCAGCAGTGTGCTCTATAGATTGGCACTGACTGCATTTGTTTTTCTTCTTTGGGTGTAGCTCCAGCGCCGATTTGTACCGTCGACTCTTTGCCCTATCCTTTGTAGTAGACCTTGGAGGATCCCTGGGCACAAAATCATCAGAAGCTTGTGCAAGGGATGCAGCCTCCAACGGGGCAGTAGGACCGTCACGATCACCTGTGTAATAATCATATAAAAAGTTTAGTATTTTTGTTATTGTGCAACCAGCACTGATGTTTTGTGCAACCACACAGTACATTTTGTGCAACTAACTGGTTGCTGTGTGCAAGTTAAGTTGAAAAAAACACCTGCAGTAGCACGGCCTGTCATGGTACTTGGATTGTAGTCACCTATGGGCAGAACATGAAAAACAAGTTAGATTTTTAGGTTGATCCTCAAACTAACACAGCGCACGCAACTAGGCAGCATGTTCTGTTCAACTGGGCACTATGATATGTGCAACTAAAGTCACTCACCCTAGTTTTTGTTTTGGAGTCGGTGAAGGTACTAACCTGGGTGATGAGCCCCCTGAGTCCTACCTGTAGGTCCATTGGGAGTAGCACAAAGGGCACTGCTAGTTGGGCCTGGCGGAGGAGGAGGTCTTTGAGGGTTGGCATCACCTATAGGCAGAATAGGACAAACAAGTCAGTTGTGTTTATCTTTTGATGCTCGAACTAACACATCGTGCGCAACTAGGTAGCCTGTTCGGTGCAACTGAACACCATGATGTGTGCAACTGGAGTTATAGACCTAGTTTAATGGGGAGTTGGGGGCAGGTAATTACCTGGACGATGAGCCCCCTGAGTGCTGCCTGTAGGGCCATTGGGAGGAGCACGCGGGGGAGGAGGTGGCGGAGGATGCCGTGTATAGCCAGGAGGGGGAGGAGGTCCTTGAGGGTTGACATCACCTATATCCAGAACTGGAAAAATAAGTTAGGTGTGTTATCTTGATGCTTGAACTAACACAGCGTGCGCAACTAGGCAGTATGTTCTGTTCAAGTGGCTACCATGGTGTGTGCAACTGGGCACAATGATGTGTGCAACTGAAGTTATACACCTAGTTAGATCAGGAGTTGGGGCAGGTAATTACCTGGATGATGAGCCCCCTGATTGCTGCCTGGAGGTGGAGGAGGTCCTCGAGGGTTGCCATCATCTGATGGCCCCATTGCAGCAGTCAGTTTTTTCTTTTTCTTGGACTTGTTCAGGTGGCCGATCTCGGTACGTGCTGCACGCATATGCTTGTATACAATAGCTTGTGCTGGATTAGAACCACTCGCAAACTTTGCTAGTTTCCGAAAATCGTATATCATGTTCTTCTCCCTTATCTGCTTCTTTGATTGAGGAGGCATTTCATCCGGTTGCTCATAACCAGTCCCTGGTGCACTAGGTATAGCAGTAGGTGTCCACCGTCTTAGCAGGTACCTTTCCGGTATGACATCAACTCCAACATGGGTGAACATCTTGAGGATGTGGCAATAAAGGATGTCGTCCTTGTCCATTTTACAGCACTCACACAAATAGGAACCCTCCTCCACCCTTTCCTGCATCAAGTAGTTTCGAGAACCATATTTGGCAACAAATTCCTGGTTCGGTCTGAGCTCAAATACATCAGCACCAACTTGGAATGCATTATAATGTCCAATCAGCTCAAACTCTTCTCTAAACTTGCGGTAAAGGTCCCTAGTATAGGTTTTGTAAGCTTGCTTCTCTATTGGGAAGTTGGACCACAACTCAATCTCAAGGTGTTCTATTCTGTAATCATTGCAGCCTTCCTTGGCAAGGATGTGGTTTTGTATTTTTTCATATTGCTTAACGAAGTTCAGCATTGAGTTGTGTGGGTTCACATATCTTTTCAGGACGGCGTTGAACCCCTCACTACGCTGTGTAGACTGGAGGAAGGGGAAGAAGCTGTGTTTGAAGTAGCACGACACCCAAGTTGACCTGTATTCATACAACTTCTTAAAGTGCGTGTGTGTCATAGCCTCATACTTCATCATTAACCCAGCCCAATTCTACTCAAACTCGTCTATAGTGAAGCTGAAGTCAACACACTTGTTGAAATCATCAGAGAATCCTGGATTCCGGCACAGCAGCCAACCAACCTTTTCCTGAGCCTTTCTCATGATGTGCCATCGACAACAGCGGTGCACGGTGGTTGGAAAGATGCTCTGTATTGACTGCCTCATTGCACCATCCTGATCGGTGATGAAGTTGTCAGGAGGTTTGCCATCCATAGCCTCTAGAAATGCTCCAAAGACCCAATCAAAGCTCGATGCCAACTCCTGCCTCACAAATGCGCAACCCAGCATGAAAGATTGGCCATGTCGGTTTATTCCTATGAAGGGCGCGAACAGCATATTGTACATGTTGGTCATGTAGGTGGTGTCAAACGATATGCAATCGTGGTACGCCTCCGCATAAGCTTTTCGAGCTAAGCCATCCACCCAAAATATGTTGACAACTCTGTCCTCTTTATCATATTTCACCTTATAGAAGAAGTCTGGATCGGTTTTTTGTATATCCTTGAAGTGCGCAATTGTCTCAATCAGATCACCCTTCTTTGTGTCATCTCTACGGAAACGTGTACAAAGATTTGTTATTGCCTTTGGTCCGAACGGCACCATCATCTCAGATCCATAGAACTCTGCCATTACATGCATCATTCGTCCTGCATAATACAAAAACAAACAGTATATTCTTTTTTTAGTTGCACAAATACGCACATCCAGGTGCATAGTAATAGGACACGTGTTGGCACAGAAGACAATCGCAGGAAATGGACATCTAGCTGCACCTTTTAAAAACACTTTGCGGTTTTTGCATACAGGACATTGTGTAGTTTTACAGTAAAGACAATCTAGTTGCACAAAAAGCACCAAAAGTGATATACAAAAAGCATGGGAAGTTGGACACCAGTTGCACAATTAAGCCATTTCAGTTGCACAGTAGTACCATAACAGTTGCACACTGGACTGCCTAGAGGGAAACTTAATTCTTCAAGGGATATAGAAAAACACCACACCTGTAGTCAAGTTGCAGTTATACAAGATGCGCAGAAACTCCTTTTCATCAGGTGATATGCCTTGGTGGGATCTCAAGTATTTGGACAATGAAGGTTTGTTCACGAGCGGATGATTATGGTCACGAACAAAGTGCGTCACCTCCCATCGCCCATCTATGAGCTTCACCAACATTTTCGCCTTGCATTCAATCTGCTTTATTGTCTCACGTTTGCGCTTCTTCTTCTTCTTCTTCTTCTTCTTCTTCTTCTTCTTCTTCTTCTTCTTACTAGTACCAGCCTCCTCTTCAGCAAATATTGGAGGTTCTTCTTCCATCTCCTCATCACTGTTAACAGATTTTGGATCTGGAATAGGGTCCAGGACAGGAGGAGCCTCAGCTCCTCCATCATCAGCTTTGGGCTTCTTGAACTTGTTGCAGCAAAACTGTTGTTTTATCAATTCATTGGTGCAGGGTGTCCGTCTAGAGGTGTTCATCTTGATAGAGAAACCCATCCGTAGTGCGTAGCTGTTGTAGTGATCCTTAGCAATTTGAAGGCTGTCAAATCTCATGCCAACATAGGGTTCCATAGGTTGAGAACCAGCCTCATCCTCTCCTTCTTCTACTTGCACAGCTCCGTCAACAGCGCTAGCTCCTAGCTCAGTCCTGGTTGGACCAGGAACATTTGCCTCGGTTCCTGTGTCATCAAGAGTATGGCTCTTTGACTGCAAAGACACCACTACAAGGGCACCACGGGCTGATGACTGGCCTGCCACATTGTCTTGGCCCGTAGGGTTACCATCACAACTTGCCTGCGTGTAGTAAACAGATCGACCATTTTCTGTCCAATTTCCTTGTTGTATGCTGGGTTGCTGCTGATCCATATCATGAGGAAGCTCATTGAGGTCTGGAGGCAACTCATTGAGATCAAGCATTTTTTTCCTTGTTTTTGGATGCTGCCACACACTCCCTGCACATATAAAAAAGAAGAAATTGATGTCATCAGTTGGTAACCACAGAAAAAGAGTGTTTCAAACAACCTAAAAACTTAGTAAATAGGCAGTTGCACACCATTTTGTGATAATCTTAGTTCCAAAAGCAACATGACCGTAGCATAATCTTTATTATAACAGTTATGAAATTTTTTGTTTGCACAGATTTGTTATGTTAGTTGCACAGTTTGCAGTAAATAACTGGCAAAAGCATGACTTCTTTTTGCTACAGAGTTTTCTGACTTTTTCCCTTTTTGTTTTGTTGCAATGATCTGTAGGTTTCCGTTTCGCAAGGAGCTCTTTTCAGATTTTTCTGCACATAATTGGATGCTACATTTGAGAAGGAAAATCCAGGTAAAAGAAGAAAGAAGAATTGGAGGACAGATTATAGTTATATGTTTTTCATCGTTGTTTATGTTTCTAGTTCTGGTATATTTGAATATATTAATATGGTTTGCAATAGGTGTGGGACCAGAATATATGCGTGGAACAAGATTATATGTGTGAATATGTTAATATGGTTTGTGGCTTCATTAGCCATGGACAAAAGTTCTTGTGTTTTTTCTGTTGCACTACAGATTTCTGGTTTTCGCTAGAATAGACGTCTCAATTGCTAGGATGCATCTTTCCACTTGGCCAGCATACATATTCAGTTGGACATTTAATGTTTTTAGTTGGCTAGAATAGATGTCTCAGCTGGCCAGGTTGCATTTATTTCAGTTTTTGGCCAACATGCATGTTCAGTTGGACAGTTAATGCATTCGGTTGGCTAGAATAGATGTCTCAGTTGGCCAGGATACATTTTCTCAGTTTTTTGGCCAACATGCATGTTTAGTTGACCAGAAAACATGTTTTTTATTTGCACATATACTATAGTTTTTCCAAAGTGTTCACTCACAAACATGTATTGCCAAATATACATGTTTACTTGACCAGGATACATATTTAGTTGGCCAGGATACATGTTTTTTAGTTGGCCAGAAAGCACGTGGGGTACAATGCATGTTTTAGTTTTGGCTAGCATGCATGGCGAGTTGCCAGAATATAGGTTCAGTTGGCTGGGATGCATGTTCAGTTGCACATTTATGAATTTTTCGTTGCACATATCTCTTGGGCAGTGAATTTTTTGTTCATTTTGCAAATAATAACTACAAGTTGGTAGAATGCATGTTTAGTTTTTGGCTACAATGCTTTGTTGAGTTGGCTTTAATCATGTTTTAATTGGCCAGAGAACTTGTTTTTAGTTGGCTTGTTTAACACATCCAGATGGTAGAAACTTGTTTGGCATGCATCAAGTAGTTTCTGGCATGTTTAACACATCCAGCAGTAACATCAAGTAGGCGGGTGTGATGTATTAGATTCACCTCTTTTTTGAAGCAGATTCTCCATGGATCCATGAAGAATGGGGTTTACATATGCCTATGCAGTAGAAGAAAGGGGGAAGTGAAGATGTGCAGAGGGGGCTTACCTGCTTGATCTTACTGCCTGGTATGGCTCTGACCACCCTGCCCTTTAGATCTTGAAGCAGCTCCTTCTACTTTGGGGCTCCCATGACGGCTGTGTAGGAGGAGGAAGAAGGGTTGGGGGCGATTTCTGTTGGATCTGCTTCTGGCGTGAAGAAGAAGAAGAAGACAACGTGAGAGGGGCTGAGGCGTGGGGGCGAGCGGGACGTGGGTGCGAGCTGGGGACAACTGGCTACGTGGGGCGTTTTCTGTTTGGTGGCCGCTCGATCGGTTTGTTTGGTGGTCGGTCGATCAGTCGGTTTGATGGCCCTTCCTTTTCTGTTTCATGTGGACACGGGGTTTCTTTTTTCAGCCGACCGCTCGGTTGCACTAGTGGGCAGCCGGTCGCCCACTAGACACGTCCTATAAAGTTTAGTCAAAGTCAAGCTTTGTAGAGTTTGACTAACTTTATATTAAAAAATATAAATATTTACAATATGAAATCAACATTATCAGATGCAGCATGAAACGTATGTTCATACTATATAGTTTTAGTATTGTAGATGTTCATATTTTTTTATATAAATTTGATCAAACCTTATGCAGTTTGATTTTTATCAAATTTTATATGCGGAGTAAAAAGAAACGGAAGAGTACACGCGCATGAAATGAAATGCATGCAACGTAGCAGCAGCAGTACTACAACTACAAGAAGGAAGGAGCCTCCAGAAAAGTTTCATTTACGGCGCGGTCCGGCGGCAAGCACCGGCCCCTGAAACTTGCGCCGTAGCAGACCAAGACCGGAACCGGAGCGACCCGTCGAGAAGCTGGCACTCCACGTCGGCGCCCGGTGACGTGACCACCGGCGCGGCGCGTCCCACACGTACGCGCGGCACCTGGCCCAACGGCAGCCCGCCACCCCAGCTCCACCCCGCGTCCACCTCCACGTCCACGCGCTTGGCGCCGCCGCCTGATCCTCTCACCTCTCACGTCTCCCGCGCTCCCTTCTTCCTCACGCGGATCGGTTACAACCACTAGTACTACTTCACCACGCGAACCGAAACACCACTCACCCGGGGACGGACGGACGGACAGCAACGCCTCACCGCGCGGTGGCCCCCCTCGCCCACGGGGGCCCGCGCGCCAGCGTGCCACAGGCCCCCCCGCAGCCGCAGCCCCACCCACCCACCGTCGCTGTCTGTCCGCCTCCCCCGGCCCCGCGCATCATTTCCTTCCCTGTCCCCGTCCCCTCGCTTCCAAGCTACTACCCCGAGCGCGCGAGAGCGAGAGCGAGCCAGCCAGCGCCACTTGACTCCAGCTCCTTCCTTCCCTCCCCATCCTTCCGTCCTCGGCTTGCACATCACATCGCGTCACCGGAGCCAGCTACGAGCGCGTGAGACCAGCAGCGGGACAGCATGGAGGGGGGCGGCGAGGGGAAGGGCCGGGCGGCGCCGGCGACGGCGGCGGGGGGAGGGTTCGGAGGGTACGAGTCGGCCGGGGACCGCAAGTGGTGGCCCTGGCTCGTGCCCACCGTCATCGTCGCCTGCGTCGCCGTCTTCGTCGTCGAGATGTGGGTCAACGACTGCCCCAGGCACGGCAGCGCGCTCGGCGGCGGCTGCGTCGCGGGATTCCTCCGGCGATTCTCCTTCCAGCCGCTCCGCGAGAACCCGCTCCTCGGGCCCTCCTCCACCACGTACGTCTCCGCTTCCCCTCTCTCTCCCTTCTCCCTTCTGTGTGGTCCAATTGCGCTAGGGGACTGGGTTGGGCGGTGTTCTGCTTTCTGGGTGTGCTCGAGGTGAAATTGGGCGGACGGATTTGGGGGATTCGTCTTGAGATTGGGTTGTTTTATCCGCGTTCCTAGTTGATTCGTTGGCAGAACATGGATTTTGCTTTGCTGGTTCTTGGCAAGTTAAGCTCGCATCATGAAGCTGTCAATTCTGTTGCTCTGAACTCTGGAGCAAGTGTTACTGGTCAGAGGAAATCTCTCAACTCTCCTCCTTTTGCTGTGAGGAAATCAGAAATGTTCTCTGAAGTTTCGCTTCTGAATTCAGATGCCTTTTCCTCTTCTGGAAGTTCGGGAGACAGGGGATTCTTCTGTCATGTGGTGGCGACAGTTCAGATCTCCCTCCCTCTCTCCAGTGGCTTGAAATGATCTGAACGTGCACAATTCGACATGATTCCATTGTTCAATGCACTCCACTGTTTAGTTTACCCTCCACTTCGTCCAAACAGTAGCTTCCACCAGTACGCAACGAAGACAGCTGAAGCTTTCTCTTCTTTGTTATTTGTGCCAAAAATAGCTTTCTGAGACAGTCAGCGACGATATTTTCTACTACCTTTTGCCGGTAATTAGGTGTCCACTTTGTGCTGCAGGCGTAGGATTCTGTGTTATTGTAGTCTAGTACACGGGTTTATGGAAACTGTTTTGACTTTTGCTAAGTGATGTAGAACTAATGCTATAAAACAACCCAAGCTGTTTCTAGACCATGTAGTTTTCTCGTTGACAGTAGTGGCATGCCCGCTTATTTTAATTGCAACTTGCTATGTGGTATGTGTCTCATGAGATTGCAGCTCAGTTGCCAACCGTTGACCAGAAAAGTTCGTTGTTTGGTTTGATTTGTGTAGTTATATTTATCTCTCTAAGATACTACTGTAGGATACATACAAGATGATAAAGTTAACGGGTTAAGCTCTATCTTGCAGTTTGGGGAAAATGGGAGCTCTGGACTGGAACAAGGTTGTCCATCAGCACCAGGGGTGGCGTCTCATTAGCTGCATCTGGCTCCATGCTGGCCTGATCCATTTGGTTGTGAACATGCTAAGTCTGCTGTTTATTGGGATTCGTCTTGAGCAGCAATTTGGGTTTGGTAAGCTTCTCACAATGCTGAATCAGTGTTACTAGCATCATTTGGGAGATATTCTGTTAGTGTTTCTACACGTCAACAAAACTCGTCTGAGTGTCCGTCTGCTGTTTTAGTTACACTGTAACTGGTTTCTATTTTGCAAGTTGAGCTAGTTTAATTGCTGAGGTGTTGACAGTATGCTTAAATCTTACTTTATTTATGTCACTCCCTGATCCATATCAATTGCCGCTAGTTTAGTACTCTCTCTGTAAAGAAATATAAGAGCATTTAGATCACTATTTTATTGATCTAAACACTCTTATATTTGTTTACGGAGGGAGTACAACATTGTACTAAACCAGCGTCAATTAATATGGATCAGAGGGACTACTAATATCAATGTAGATAGAATATTTTTGATTATCAGCATGTTTATATATTGCACATGACACTAGTTCTTTTGCTTGCAAGTTCGCATTGGCGCTATCTACCTACTGTCTGGTTTCGGTGGCAGCGTGATGTCTGCACTCTTCCTACGAAATAACTACATCTCTGTTGGTGCATCTGGAGCTTTATTTGGGCTGCTTGGATCTATGCTTTCTGAGCTACTTATGAACTGGACTATTTACTCCAACAAGGTCCGAGATAGATAGAAAAC